GAGTCCCTTAAGTTTTCGGCAGTTAGGGTATTGGCAATTACGAACATGACATGATGATGCATGCAGTGCAAGTTCAAGCCATACACGCACCTGCAGGACCAAGAAAAGAACATAATAAATTTAAGACCACTTCCTTCATGGACTCAATATAGAAAATGGATTAGCCCAAAACAATAAATAGTCCTTTTCCACACAAAAAGTTAACTGGAAAAATTATTGGTAAACCTTAGCTCATATATAGTTAAATATAAATCAAAACCTCAGCACCAATTCTGTCCCATAAGAACAATAACTTGCAGTAAGCACAGGCAAGGCATATATTGCAACTGTCGAGCAAACAAAAAAAATGCATATACCTCACTATTTCCTAGGTGTGTGGCACTATAGCACTAAAAGTGTACAAGCACGATTTTGAAGAGAAAATGGAGCGGTTAAAGAGTACGGCAATAGCATCTAGACTACAGTCAAAACAAAAGTGTAGAGCTGTGACTGAATATCAACAACCCATTCCTACAATGGTCGAACTGCAATGCAGATAACGAAAATGTGTAAATAAACCTTTCTGACATTCAATTTGCTCAGAAAATAGAAATCACCTGCTGAACGTGCTTCTGCCAAGCTCCCTTGTTTTGAACATTACATTCTGCAGATGATGGATGGTTTGTTAACTTGTGATGATGATTGGCACCTCATGTTTTTGGTAACATGAAGCACACATATCAAAGTCTGGGCAATCTTTACAATACCACCCTTGACCATTTTCAATATCGCAATTGCAGACATTACATGTGGCAACAAAAGCTGGTCCAGTTGGATTATGAAGGTGGTATAGCATCATCATGGTGGAATGCTTTGCACGGCGGAGGGTGTCATATTGATAATGATACCCTTGACAAAAACTCAGGAATGCCTGTCTGGTGTCAAAGATCTCATTTTCTAAGATAATATCTCTGTCCTTGGTATCTTCAGAGACCCCAACAATTTCAACCTAAGCAATGATATGAAATAAAAGAGATTTGGTGATTATTTACCCTGTTGCTTTACTGATATCTATGAATTAAAACTTGAATGCTATCCATTACTTACTGGGTGGAGTATATGCAAACATTTACTATTACTTGGGTGCCTCTCCTTCTCCTCAAGCCGCTGCTCTGCATTATAACACCTGCAACAACAAACTCATCAGTTCAAAAGCAACAGTAGCAATTGTTTTTAAGGAATATGCAAAAGGCATGTGCATTATTAAGCCTTGAATTGAAAGGCAGAGAGTTTGGATATAACAAACAACCCATGCACTTCTCTAAAAAAAACAACCCCATGTCCCCATGCAGTAGGTGATAAATTAACTTCTAGTCTCACAACACATGTTTCTGACCACTGACCACCATCTATCCGCCTATTCTAGTCTTCTAGACTACCAGGATAGGAGCCTATAACCTAAGCTTCCTTGCTAACTGAGACGATATATTGCTCTCTTGATTAAAAGGGTAATTGTTCCTTTCCTTCCAAATCATCCATGCCACCAGTATCACAATGGTAGCATAGCCTCAGCACGTTGAATTAGCTTATCTTCTCCCTACTTCTGTAACACCAATGATGGAACCTTTCCTGATTGGATAGGAAGCAGTGTGGTACCTGACTTGCACCGGCTGGCATCATCCTCTGTACTTGTGGGCATTCGACCAGTATGTGATCAATTTAATACTGTCTCGACTTGTTTGATCTGTTGGCTACGATGGACTGCCAGCCAAGTGAAGTACTACTATTTTCAATGAAGTGCCACACAGAATCTCCATGCTGGATGATCTCCCAGGGAACTAATCCATAGCCTAGATAAGTTGATTTAGTGGAGTATCTTCCATAAGTCCCCCACTTCCACAAAACAACACCATGTTCAGTCAGCAGGCTTGAATGTACCTCGTATTATCCAGAGACAGTATTATATGTATGCGTCACAAGGACTCCTCGGGTGTCTACAGTAGCAACTATTAACCTAGCTATAGGCTCTGACAAGATTCAAACAACGATAGAACCCAAAACCAGTTCACCACATGCCAACTTATAATGTTGTGTACTGATTAGATAACCAACAAAACACATTTTTACAAACCACCATACCACAATTCCTTCCATATCACAGGGTAAGGAAAAGAAAATGAAAATATTCTTATCACTTGCGACTTATTTGGCTAAAGTCTACATATAGTGACAAATAGATCCGTGATCATGCACATTTATCAAACAAAAAGTACTGAATTTCGAATCTATCATATCAAAAGTACCATACAATGAAATAATTTAATGTACCTGTCACAAATATAAAAACTTTTGCATTCATTGCAGACCCAGCGTCTTCCAGACACCATAAAGGTACAACAGTGACTGCACGAATACTGCAAATGGACCATGATGAGATCATCCTTAATTGGGCAAATGATTTCTCCAAGCTGCATAGAATCAAGATGATGACTATGAATAACATATAATAGAACTACAACAAAACTCAATGGCATAACCTCGCAAAAAAAAAAAAAACTCAATGGCGTAAGTACATATACTGCATGAAAAAGAATATTACTTTTTGCATCAGCATAGCCTCTTTTGAAGCATTCCCACTTAGATCAGTGTGGCCGGCAGCTTTTAAAGCTCGTTTTGTGATAATTTTATTTACTCTCCCCTTCTTCAGCAGCTTACCATCACCCTCTAGTTGAAGTTGGTTGATAATATCTTCTGCAGCTCCTGGCCAATAATCTCCATCAAAATATGGCAAGCGAGCTGCAGATACTTTTATCTTGCATTCTTTTGCAGTGACAAAAAATTGATCATAGAGATTTGTCAACTCGACAACAATGTTCTCCTTAATAGCCTTTTGAAGCATAGATAAGTACCTGTGTGTAAAGGAATATTAATCGTATATGAGGCAAGAGCTGCAGATGGAAAATATGGTATTCATTAATCTATTAAATGCAGCACATTAATTGTTTTTAGAATTACAGGGACAAAGCCCCAGTTCCTGATTCATTCATCAGAAACCATTTTTTTGCTGCCAAGGGCAGAGCATTACCCCACAAATGCAGCCACACTATTAACAAGGATAACAACATAGATGCCAATCTATGGTCTTACCACTGACGCAGTTTATCAGACTTTGGTGTCTTCTGAATCTCTGGATGGCAATACAAAATGTAATCTTCACCTTTAACAGGAGGGCAAGCCCATATATAACAACTGGTGAATCCACGCTGCTTATAGTACTCAAGATAACCTATCTGTATCCAGAAAAAAAACTAGTATTAGAGACAAAAGAAATTATCAAAACGAGAAATTATTAGTCGAGTGATTGATTAGGAAACTATTCCCCTCTTCTTGACAAATCTAAACAAGAAAGTATTGAAGAGAACTCAATAGGCATAGCGAATTACCAGAATTTCATGGTACACATATGTCCTTAAGGCCTGCCCGGACACTGTTTCTATATCTGGTCTAAAGTATTTAACAGAATCAAGATATGACAGATAAACCCGACGTTGGTTTGGGAATTTGCATTCTGCACCATATTCTTGGACATACATGCCAAATAAGCATACTTCCACACCTTCTATTTTCTGAAATAAAAGAATAGCCTGCAAAATATTTGGAAATGTTAAAGAGAATTAGGATTTTATTTTCTTGATTTATTTAATAAAACTTTCATTACGGAAAGAATTTCTTAGAACTACTAACATCAAGAGGCGATCACATATTTCAAATGATCAGACCACTTTCTCACCTTAGACTTGTAAGGGAACTCAGCTGGATAATTGTCCTCTTGCAAAATCTTGAAAAAATGTGGTTTAACTTCCAGTTTCTTGTCCACTGATGAAACAACTCTGACCACAAGTCCATCTGCTCCAGGAACCTAACATGGTGGGAAAATTAGGAGTAAATAAGGAATATCTATTTGTAGATAAGAAAATAAGGAATACAATATTTTGTTGAGAATATTAGTGTCATATGCTAAATTTACAGGATAGACTGCCATTGAAGGACAAACAAGACAGCAGCAATAATTCATACATAGAAATTAAATTAAATACATATTTACTCCCTTTCAATCTTAATGAAATTTGGTCAGCTCCTTCGCCGACCCAGCAAAAAAAATTAAATTAAATACTACTAGCAAATATGTATCACTGGGCCTCTTGCAAACCTTACAATAAAGCCTATGGGAACCGGAACAAATTATAGTCACACTAACCTCATCCAAACTTGTCTTTAACTTATTTGCCCGTTCCTGTCTCTCCTCCCTGAGTCGTTTAAAAAGTCGTTCTTCTATATGATCGCTAAGCAGGGTCCTTGGCAGATCTTTGGCACCACGAACAACACTCTCTGGTAAAGGCATGCGCAAACCACGTTTAAACTCCTCAATATAACATTTGAAGCAAGTGTATTCTGCTTCTTCAACATCATTTCTTCTGGCATTGAAAAGTGCACAGATCTGATGTTGCCAGCATTCACATTTGTCACACTGAACCCACTGTAGATCCAATCAATAGGAACAAATCAGTATGCAAGAATCAGTATAGATAAAATACTCTACAGCCTAACAGAAGGAGAAAGTGCTTACCCCTTCCTCTGGTTCGTCACTGTTTCTCTTTTTCTCAAGATCTGCTTTTGAGAGTTTAATAAGCTCCACCTCAATTGTGTTGCCCAGAGATGCATTGTAACACGAGATACAGAAAAAAAGGCGACCCATAGCAGTAGACCCAGTATAATATGATGCATTTTGTTTTATCCGAGCACCACAAGGAGAACAATATATTGGTCGAGGTTCAAACGTAAGGTTTTCAACTTTGCAAAGCTGGCATAAGCTCTCACTTTCAGAATATCCTATCACTTGATTCTTTTCAGCTTTTAGCCTTACTCTGTCAAATTATAGAATCAGGTATAAAGCTTATGCTTCACAGCACCATAAATCCATCTTGTTGCATATGCATACACTATGCTTTGCTGTACTAGCATTAAAACATGAATCCAAACAATAAATTAAGCAAAACACCAGGCACATCAGATATGCATACACTATGGTTTGCTGTACTGGTCATGGTGCAAGGCAATAATTTCCACATCAGACCAGAAATTTTTAAACCAGATGAAGCTTTAAATTCAAATTCAATTTCCTACATTGAATATTGAATAAAAGGATTGCACAAAACTGCGAGAAAGTCTGTAAGGTATGAATGTAGTGTTATGACTTATGTAAATCAGCAGTAAGCTGCATCTTTTCATCGTCTTAAATTTATGGAAACATAAACAACCTCGCAGAAAGATACTGCAACATACTAGAGATTTTGTCCAGGTCAAGAAGCATACCTGACCAATCCACTGCCTTAGACTGTTGATGTGTTCATGTATTTGTTCTGGAGTAAACAATTCCATGAGTGAAACACCTTTTACCTTTGGTTTCCCAGTTTTGGAGATCGTGACATCCACAGAGCCTGTTTTTTTCTTAACATCAACAACAGTCACACTCTCTTTATCAGCCACAACAGTTTCTTGCTGGACATGACAATGTATCTTGTTTAAAGCACCAGGAATAACAGTATTTTGCGCAGCACCAATTTTCTCATCACTACCATGACAGCTGACTAAAGTAACTTGTGGATGTCGGATATCAAGCCCCACGTCTACCTCTTGATCAGGGACCATCTTTTTGTTCTGATCAAGCTGTCTAGGATGGGCTTCCTGCAACATAAACCCTGGGTTTTTTTGACAGACAGGGACATTCTCAGATGCATCGGGAGACACAAGCTGCAACTTTGGACGCTTTGCTGCTGGTGGTTGGTCATCAAAGGTTTCAACTGCCTGGTCAATGTCCATTCTATCACCATGTACCCTATCGGCACTTCTTTGATTCATATTGTGCTGAGTAATAAGTATAGGTTCAGCAGGATTCTGTTTATGTGCCAGTTCAGAAGAGCGACGCAACATTTCTTTTGCTTTGCAGCAAACATGACAATGCTCGTTAATACAATTCTTATAGTGATCAGATACCATCTTTGACTCCCTACAGTGTCGATATGAACAGTCCTTTATTTGACAGTCCGTCAAATGAACCACTAACTCCCGTACACGATCACAATATGAAGATTTACAACTTCCTGGAGGAGATGTACATGATTTTGCATGGAACAAAAATAGTAACCAACGTGCCTGGGCATGGTATTGTTTAGTGTTTTCCATGACTTCTTCAGATCCAAATGAAGTCGCAGCGCAGCCAGCACTGTGCCAACCAGATATAATAGGATGATGTTCTCTATCTCGTGCCATTTTTTTCTGACAAAAACCATCCTGGATCTTTCCACTCAGCAAACTAGTCATGATCACTTCTTTCATTGGTTTTGATTTACAATGTGGTTGCAATGGTTTAGTGTATGTTTCTTTCAAGAAACAACTCAGACGGTATGAACCATCATCGAATTGCTGTTGTGGAGGCAACAAATCATGAGGGGCTGGGATACCAAGGTTCTGAGAACTGGCAGACATTTGGCCCTTTTTGTAATTATCATGATATTGTGTTTGCTCATAATGGCCCTGGAGATTTGTCAGGCCAACATGCTCGTTTATTTGTGAAGACACCAGTTCACTGTGCAATTGATTTCTCTTGTCCAATAGTTTCTCAGCATGATCAGAACCAAGATGGCATTGCGTCAATACATTTCCCCTCGACATAACAAGATGATGCAGTGAATTTTGCTGCTGGAGCTTTAAGCTACATTGGTTCTGCGCATACTGGGAATGAGGCTGAATAAGATGCAGCTGATTCACCTGCTGATGCAGCTGTTCAAGAGAAATCTTTTCTTGCAGATCCAATCCTTCAGTTTGTATATAATACTCTGTTTGAAAGGACTGGATGGTTGGCTGACTCATAATCAACCCAGAATCCATTCTTGATTTAGGCAGCGAATTTACAGTAGTCATATCTAGATAACTCGTAGTTGATAAGGCAGAAGAACCGGTGCCATTAAAACTTGTAGAGGCAGCTATATCTGCAGGAGCTGTAAAAAGAAACAACATAATTCACTGTTTTGAAAAGCCTACCTACAGTGAGTACTACTTTTCTAATCAAAGAGACAAAAACCAAGATAGTAACAAATCTCAAGTTAAATCATGCAAAGCACAAATGAACTCCGGACTAAACATTAACAAGTCAAATGTATGTGCAGTTCTCCATAGGGATTCAGTCTCCCTGCCTATTTTTTGGGGAATACACAAGGCGCGCATCTTTGTATTAAGAGAAGTAAAGGGTAAATGCATGGCCCGGCCAACAAAAAGAGAGGAAAAAAAAGGAAAGGGGACGGGAAACAGAGGGACCATAAGTCTCCCTGCCTACCAAACAAGCAATAAGGATTACAGGAATTGTAATGCTTTCTAGAACAGAAGAGCAATTTTTTTTTGAATAATTTGTATATTTGTCATGTGCCTATTGTATACAATTTGATAATATTTCAAATATGATTTTGCTACATAAAGAGTTCTCAAAAGTAGATTTCTTATAATCTCATGCTTACATAATTTATCCTCTATTCCAAATAATTATTTTATACACTAATCATTTAGAACTAGATAGCTTAAACTGCAAGACACTAGGACGGGCTCTCCTCGGCACTGGAAAAAGGCCCTTAAACTTTTCTGGCTTGTTATCCTCTATTGTCCTCTACCATCTAAGGTTCGTTCTCTGGTCTGCTCTGGTCTATCATCTGCTCCGATTACTAAACTACAAATATCTAAAGAATATATAATGGGGGTATCCAACAGTTGGAAGCTGTTCCATTACCTATAGGCCCCCGCTGTTACCACCTACTTCCCTATAGGGCTTGACGATCAGAGACGCCTAAAGTCTTATGGTCTCAGGCCTTAGAGAACAACGAGTGCTCTCCTACACCTCCTTTTCCAAGGGAAAGTGGAATCAAAGGGTAGAGAGAAATCACATCCTCTGTCCCTCTTGGGGGATTGGAATTATGGAATAAAAATATATTAAAATTCTTGTCACATACAGCCACACATCCCACCCTCCATTGGATAATCCCCTACCTAAGCTATAATACCAACTGCGCACGTGCGCTGTATATTTAGTGGCAACCCCTCCCCCAGGCCCCAACCATCTTTGGCTTCCCCCTGATGGCATATACAAGGTGGTTTTGTTGATGATGATAAATGCAGGGCACACTCCATTTGAAAAGCATGTTTTGTACTTTTGTGTCTGATACACTTTGTTCCTTCTCAAGACATGTCCGCAACTCCACATGCTGCAAGCATTTGTGATTTGAATAGCAGGCTAACACATTATTTTCTAAGATATTTTCCTTTCAGGTGACATGGTTAGTACTTCTCAACCATCTTTGAATGAATTCCACCAAATTAATTCTTGACTTGTACATTAGGCGTGTCATCTTAAAGAAAACTATCTCAGAAAATAATGTTGCCGAGAGTCACTACTTGCTCTGATTAACTTTCCACTTTATGGTGGGACAACTGATAAGAAATAATGGAACCAAAGAGGGGGTGCATACACATATATGGAAATCTTACTTGGTGTACTCCGTGTAGAAGGATTGACATGTCGCTGCAAAGGTTTATTGGGGGAAATTCCATAAGGAGATGGGTTAATGAATGTTTCTGGTACCACAGTTCTGTTTATGACCTGCACATTTGACCTATGTAACCCCATACCATCAATCATATGTGCTTCCGATACACCATACGGGGATGAATTGTTCAGTATGTCAGAATGTACCCCAGAACCAGCATAGCCACCAAGATCACGCTGCACTGGACAGCAATTAATTTTACTAGCAAATGGCGCCTGCTGCTCCTGCATTTGTGCCATGACGTTTGATTTCCCATTCAAGTATCCAGTTCCAGTTGAATAATGAAAATTGCCAGGTAAACTTTGTTGATTGCTAGATCCTGGTGTCGGGATCATATGGGTTATCTTCCCTTCTTGCATGCTCACTGCACTCATCTCTAATGAGGCACCCTTAGTGGTGGAATGTAGTGGGAAATTGGCGGAGAAGTGGTGGTGTCCGTTAGACATGGGACCTGCAAGCGGCGTATGTTAAGTACAAGAATAGACAAATGTTCAAAGACAAGGTTTAGGGCAAAAATTTAAAAAATCAAAGATGAGATGAGCAAATAATATCTGCAAACATAAGCCAAGTACATATATTCGAGTTACCACTTGTGTTGTCCATCTCATAGAGCGCTCTAGTATTTCCACTTGCATTCTGAACCACATCAGGTATTGGAATTGTTGTGCCATAACTGGAAGAAGATGTTAATTGCTGCAGCATTTGTTGACCTTGCTGATGTTGAGCCATATGGGTACTAAGAGCATGTTGTAGATGTGGAAAGATTTCTCCATTCAATATACTATAGTAGGCAGCCTGATCAAAATAGATAGGTTGGTAAGGGAAAAGAGTAATTCAATAGCAAAAATATTGGTACAGTACGAGTAAGAGCTGTTACGAAAGAAAATGGAAGCTTTATAATTGCTTAATTTAATTTTTTTTTCAGCACACACCAAAACCAAATTAGACATAAAAGCAATGAAGTTTTATAATTGTAGGAAGGAGTGATGTTTTCATTGTGTATAGCCCATTTTCCAAAAAAGAAACTGTGAAAGGCATTTTAGTGCACCTTTATTTTGTAACCCCAAAACATTTGATTAGACATTCAACTTCCACATAACTGGATGCATGGGGTCATTTTTATAAATCATATTTATGGTAAGTCGGGAATCTATGTCCCTATAAGTGCACTCAGTAATTTTTGAATTTAAATAATTTAGATTCGTGGAGCAAAAATTAGAGGATGATGTCTCCATGATAAGTCTGATGGAAAGGATTCATGCTTGTGGTATCCACCAGCCTACTCCAGGCACCAGAAAATTTGAAAGCTTTCTAGGGCTTCGGATGTCTTTTGTAAACATGATTGGGCTGTAAATAACCATGTATTAAAATCTGTGATCAGCATAGTTATTCTTTCTTGCAGTTCATATCAACCATGTCACATTAAGGCTTAGTTCGGCACCATGGGTTCCCAACACAACTCCCTCGTGCTCCGCGCGCACGCTTTTCAAAGTGCTAAACGATGCGTTTTTTGCCAAAAGTTTCTATATGAAAGTTGCTTAAAAAATCATATTAATCCATTTTTTAAAAAAAGCTAATACTTAATTAATCACGCGCTAATGGACTGCTCCGTTTTCCGTCTGCAAGATATGGGTTGCCAACCAGGCTGCCGAACACAGCCTAAATGGTAAAAAGTTCTACATGTCACATACACACTACAAGCCTAGATTGACCTGCTTAGAAATAAAATAATATTCTCTAGATTCTTAGATTTTGGAATTTATTGAAAAATTTCTGGACCTAAGGGGCTGTTTTGCAGCTTGGGGGAAGAGAGTCAGGGGTTTAGAAAAGGAGTTGGTGGTGTAATTAATCATGGGAGTTTGATTTTTTTTATTCTCAATCCCAAACTTATTTTGGTATGAGTGATAAGAGTTAGAGATTGGATTTCAAATTGTGATGGATGGCTCGGAATCACCTATCTACATTTAAAGGGGGGAATTCCCTCCCAATTTGCACCCATCCTAAGTATTAAAAAGGAGGGAGTTTGCTCTCACCCATCCCAGCTATTAAAAAGGAGGGAGTTTGCTCTCAAACTCCCCAAACCTACATGTCCACTCACCAAGCAAAGAGATTAAACAACTGTAAGCAAAAGAAATCAACCTTCAACCCTTGACCCTTCTAAAAACTTGTAAAATGCTCCTGTGCATTTCTAGCTGAATGAGATACACGCTTCTTCACCAAACCCTCCACGGCCACACACACGAAAAAAAAAAAGAGGTACACACTTCAAGTCTAAACTACCGTGCTTATAAATAGCCTTCCCTACTTTCTTAGGTTTGAGATTTGAAAGAAACTTTACAACATCTCTTTTTTGATTGCCCTATGGCTATATTCACCTGGAATGCAGTAGTGTGTGCTTTTGGCTTAAAACCAGTGAATAATTTGCAACAAGTGGTGGGGTCCGTGGGGAAATGGACAAAAAAAGGGGATAAGGAAACAGGGGGTTTACTGGTGGTGGGGATTGCAGCAGTTCTCAGGGCAATTTGGAAGACAAGAAATAAAGCTTGTTTTAAAAATGTATTACCATATGACCCTACTGAGATCTTACACACTGCTTGCAATTGGATGTTGAACTGGGCAATCTTGCAGACTTCGGAGGAAAGCCAAAGAAGATTGCGGTGGGGAGTTCAGCTCCTAAGGCAAACCACAAGTGAAGTTTTTCAGTCTCAGTTTGGATGGAGATTGACGTGGCGAAGGCTGGAGTTCAACTGAAGATCACTACCCCAGATAGACCAGGAAAAATGATGAAGGCTACAGGAGGTCCCTGAGGGGATCTTTTTGTTTTCTCCTTTTATCCCTTTTTCTTTCTTTATTTTGCTGCAGACAGACTTAGGTAGCTAGTTCTGTTTTTCCTTTTGTTTCTTTGGCGTCTGAAGACTTCTTAAGACTCTTTTGCTACCTCTGTATTCTAGTCTCATTTCTATTAATGGAAATTGAGGGCTAACTGGGTAAGGCCCTTTGATAAAAAAAATAAGTAAAAGAAATCTGGATTACCTTATTTGGATTCTTCTTGTATATAACTGCCTCAAACCGTTTTGCCAAGTCTGACACCAGTTTTCTAGGCCTTGTTTGAAGCTTAGGTTCCCTTGAAAGTAACTCCCAAATCCTACAATTGTTAAATTGAAAACGTTTTTAACACACATTCTAATAAGCAGTTTTTTCCGCTAGCCCGATGCGCATTTGGAACAATTAAGAAGCATGATTTACTGCGCGGGGAGATGGGCAACATGAGAGAGCTTACAACCTGTTGGTCATGCGTATACGCAAGTTCATTAACTCAGGATCCGCACTAGCATGACCTGAAGCGACCTGATGCCGCCCATTGCCATCGCCATCGCCCGGATTCATCTGCGCAGTAGGATGATGGCCTATCCTCTGCCCAGAGAGGTGAGCCCCTTGCCCCTGCTTCATCTTATACCCATCAACGCATCAACTTATCACCATCATCAGCTGCCAAACACAGGATCGAACCCTAAATTATGGGGGTATGGGGGTTTAGTTAAGCACTAAATTGGGGGTTTAGCTAAACCCTAAATCGTCGGGAACAAAAATGTCGTTATTAGCATCCAGGTTAAGGCGTGGATAAAGAGGAATGAGAAAAAGAAAAAAAAAGAGGATTACGGCGTACGGGCGCTCACCGGCGACGACGGATGCGGCGGAATCAGCGGGACGCCGGCACCGGTGCTCGCGGGACGGCGATCGGCGGAGGCGACTCGCGACTCGTGAGGAGGAGACGAGGGCGAGAGCACGGGGAGGGGAGGGGCTAGGGTCTAGGGGCGCAAGGAGTTGGTTTTCGAATCGGGGGGTTCGCAAAGCGGCGACGCGAGAGAGGGCAACGAGTTGGCGGCACGGGTTTTCCGTAACCCCCCTCTATAAGTAGTGCATTGATCACCAGCTGAAATACGCGCAAAAGCATACGATGGTGGTGTTCTTTTTCTCCGGAATATGAAATTAAGTTTTCTACGTAAAACGATGTGGTATTAACGTATGATTGATTAAGTTTTAATTATTACAAAGTTAAAAAATATGTTATTATAATATTTTAAAGTAATTTTCATATAGAAAACTTTCACACGAAACACACCGTTTAGCAGTTTGAAAAGCGTGACACGAAAATCTTAATCTTTATCCAACTCTAGTTGGAAAAAAGAATAGGGCCGATACTGATCAACCCAGTAGACGAAATTTTGTATTTTTGTGCAAAATAACCAGATCAAATTGTGTCTTTTAAAAAAAACAAATCATTTAATAATCTTGTTTAAAACACAATATAACTATGTACAACCGTATTCACACCGACATATACTTGTCTACAAGCACACATCTTATTATTCATATAAGCACTTTCATATAAAATATATTGGTATATTTTAAGATTACACGTCTATATAAGATTGATGAAGTTATTATAGGTGTAGTCATTTCTTCTCACGTACGCTCTATTTCAGCACCTCCCATAAATTAAACTGTGCTCAGTATATCATGAAATTGATAATGTTATTAAAAGGAAGTTAGATGTAAATACAACTATGGATACTAAATCTAATACTTAAGCTTGTGTACCGATAAACTTATTAGCTAGACATTACCTGATTACCTCACACAACTACACAAGATCTCATTCTTCGTCAAGAAGTAAAGAGATAACTACGCTTTACCAACTTGGCCATATCCGTGCGTTGTACAAAATAAAAACCATTTCGAATACAAAAATCGCAAAGGCGATAAGGTTGGAAAAAGAGATGGTATTGGGCCTGAAAATATGAGCCCAATACTAGCCCATCACCAGCGACCCAACCCAACCCAACCCAACATCTGCTCTTCCTCCTCGCGCGTTCCTCTTCCTCCTCCGTCGCCGCCATCTCAACCCACCGAGGACGACTCGCCGCCGCCGCCGCCGCCGCAGCCGCCGGCCATCGCCGCCTCCTTCCGTCCTTCTCACCGGGATCCGGCTCGTACTCGTCACCATGGGTAAGGCCTCCAAAGACAAGAGGGTACGTACGCTACTACCTCTTGCTCCCCATCGTCCCCCGGCCGCGGCCGCTTTACTTCGCTGCTTCTTCTCCATCGCCGTGTGTGTGATTGGGCTAGCTTGCCGCCGGTTGTTCAGGACATCTACTACCGCAAGGCGAAGGAGGAGGGGTGGAGAGCTCGTAGCGCCTTCAAGCTTCTGCAGATCGACCAGGAGTTCAACATCTTCCACGGTCTCACCTCACCCGCTTAATTGCTACTAATTGCTAACCCTTTCTGCCACTGGCTTCCATGAATGAACATTTACGAACTGACTAAGAGATGCAAAAAAAATTGCAGGAGTGAAGCGTGTTGTTGATCTGTGCGCTGCTCCCGGAAGCTGGAGTCAGGTATTCCCTGTGCCCATTTGCCCCCACATATAGCTATGTTTGTTGGTTTGGTAGTTCTTGCTGATATCTCTATTCACAATTGCAGGTTTTGAGTCGGAACCTGTATGTTCCAGCAAAACAATCTCCTGATTGCAAGTAAGTACTAGTTTCAGCGCGGCACTGTCTGTTCCAGCAGGGTTATGTTCTTAGCATCTGATTATTTTGCCTCGTTGTTTATGGGGGATTATACTAGAGAAGGTGACCTTCCTCTTATTGTTGCCATTGATTTGCAACCAATGGCTCCGATAGAAGGCGTTATACAAGTTCAAGGGGACATCACTAATGCTCGAACAGCAGAAGTGGTACTTTTCTCATATGGATTTGGCTTGCTGTATTTTCTCCCATGGTTTGTCTTGCTGCAACTGATATAATTTTGTTACTAGGTTATTAGGCATTTTGATGGATGCAAAGCAGATTTGGTTGTCTGCGATGGTGCTCCTGATGGTAAGATAGTGATGTCCCTTACTTGCATCCCATTTATTTATGGCATTAGACTACATGTATGTTTCATGCTTATTATGTGCTTTGGGTTATTACAGTTACCGGCCTTCATGATATGGACGAGTTTGTTCAGTCCCAGCTTATACTGGCGGTTAGTTCAATTCATTGCCTTTGTATATTCAATTAAGATCAGAGTTCTTTTTCAGCAACTATTTGCAATGTACACAAGATACTGTCTCAATTAAACCTGTTTTAACTTTTGTATGATGGTTTTCCTGTTGTTTATGTTGAGGTTTGACTTTCTTTAACTGACCTCTAGAGAATCTGTTGCTTATTTCTTTTTGTGCTTGTTTTGGTTATATTTTGCCTTATTTTATTTTTAGTTGGTTGGGTAGCTTATATATCTGGCTGATGTACTCTTTTGTGTTGTGTTTAGGCATTGACAATTGTGACTCACGTACTTAAAGTTGGTGGGAAATTTGTTGCGAAGATTTTCCGTGGAAAAGATACAAGTCTGTTGTATTGCCAGGTGATCATAGCTTCTGTTTTAGCTTTCTACTTCTGTTTCTGAATCTTGACTGACAAAGATATATGCATCATCAGCGTCTGTGTTCCTTATCTGTCGTGTTCATGTATTATCGTTGCATTGTTCCGCAACTTTCGATCTCTGAAGCAGTATAGCAATCAGGATGTACTTAATTGATGACCATAGGCTATTCAGGTTATATTATCGGACTATTCCTGCCAGTGCTTGCCTCTTATTGGTACTGTTGCAGTGCTGTTAGTAATACTTGAAGGCCTGAAGAATAAGAATGGCATTTAGTTTATGGGCTGAGTTAGGTACATAGATGCATGCTTGAGGTGATATTGTGAAAAATGTTGTATTTCTTACTCTCAGTGCTTTATGCAGCTGAAACTATTCTTCTCACAAGTTACCTTTGCAAAGCCCAAAAGTAGCCGGAACTCAAGCATCGGTAAGTCTGTCTCTTTAAAGGGGAATTTCAATTGATACATCTGCTTACTACGTATTTTTCGTAAATTCTTCAGTCAAGTCTACACTATGGTTTTATATAAAGTTAACTGCATGCCAAATGAGTCATTCATAGTAAACAGATGTTTCACTTACTTTTTATCTTCGTGATTCTTATTTCCTGGTTCCTGGAAAATGTTTGAGAGTTTCCATAATCACCTTTCCACATATCAAACAGAGGCGTTTGCAGTTTGTGAGAATTATTCGCCTCCCGAAGGATTTAAGGAAAAAGATTTATATCACCTGCTAGAGAAAGTGGGGACTCCTTCTGGGGCTGATGATTTAGGTAATGGCACAAAACTCAAAATGCCATTTGTGAAATGCCAACCCAACACATGATACAGGATGCCTCATTCAATTTTGTCATGTGCAGACTGCAGAAGTGGATGGTTAGAGGGACCAAACAAGGTCTACATCCCATTTCTGGCTTGCGGTGACCTCAGTGGTTACGATTCGGATCGTTCTTACCCACTAACAAGCACAGAGGGAGGATCCTACCAGAGCTTGGATCCAGTCCAGCCTCCAATTGCTCCACCTTACAAAACCGCACTGGAGATGAAAAAGGTCGCCAGCCATGGCATTGGAGCAGATATCAGCAAATTATCCCTCGACTCCTGAACTACACTCTGGATCGCTGTTTGTGTTCTTGTAACTGCCAACCCTGTGGAATTTGCAAATTGTATGGCATTGTTGTTCCACAGATTACACAAGAGATGAACTGAAACTTCAGCTTCATGTGGTTGTTATATCAACCAAAAATGTACTACCTGTTATTTTTATTTAGAAAAGGCACGAATTCTTTTTCTGGATGCCAGATGTCTGAACTTCTATGAATGCATGGATGACTAGAATACCAATATTATGGATGCACATCGTGCCTGACCTTGTTTAGTTCTGCTTCAATATTTTTGTATTATTCTGCATCTTGTGGAATCTGCATAATGCTTACAAATTACAACATGTATGCGACTTCACAGTCGCGGCATGTGGATTCGGCGTCGCTGTCAAGTGTCAACTACAGGCACCCAGATCATAGATTCGTATTGTACTTGATGTCTTTGATTAATCTGCTTAGCACGGAAACGAGTAGATTTGTATTGTACTACTACTTGATTATAAGCGTGTTACACGTCTGAATTACGGAGGAAAGCATCCAGAGCAGAGAGAAGACTGAATAACAACAGATTATCCCTGACTGATGGTGTCCATGTAATTCAAACTGCCTTACTATTCAATGTGGGCTTGCATGTGACCATGTGAGAACTGAGGATGGTCTCCTGAATCTGTCCCTTGCATTAGGCCGTTGCAAGCAGTCTCGAGTTTGAAGCTACCACCTTTTTTTGGCCATACTACTTCGCAGTATTTCCACCTTAATATATATTGCCGTGTTTAGTTCCAAAATAATTCTTCAAACTTCCAACTTTTCCATCACATCAAAACTTTACTACATACATAAACTTTCAACTTTTCCGTCAAATCGTTTCAATTTCAACCAAACTTCCAATTTTGGTGTGAACTAAACACAATCTATAAGTTGAACTCAACATTTATGAATTACGAAAAGGCTCATCTTAGAGTGCAGTAATTTTATCGGACTTTGTTCAATTCTCGCATAATCTCTTCGAAATTCATCCAATCCGAAAAGGATGCCATTAAGTGGAGAAAAGAAAAGCCAGAGCGTGTCAACGTCGGTGGCAGAATTTTGCAGCCAAGTGATCATCAAAGTACTGAACTGAATTGATTGCAGCGTGTCATCAGAAACTATAGGACGTGAACAGTTTTTTCAGTCACTAATAGTAATAACACTACGGAAAAGGAAGGTACTACTAATTCTCATTTCCTTCTAGAACTAGACATCCTTCCATCTAACACAAAATGAAGCATGGATCACATATAATTTATTAAGTCTTATTTTTTTAAAAAAAATGTAAAGAAACAGTCTTGTTTAGAAAAAAAATATTTTATAGAATTTATTTTTAAAAATGATGTATCGTTATTAGTTTGAAAAACAAGCGTGTAAAAAAACGAGAAAACAAAAATAAAGATGGAAATCGTGTGCGTAAAAAGAAAAAAGAGGAATTAAAAATGGAGCAAAGAGCTCACACTAGACTTGCCAACCAGAGTGACGGCGAATAAAGCACTTGGAGCCGTGGAGTTCACCGCCGCATCCGCATCTCCCACCGCCGCCGCCGCCGCCTCCATCGCCGCCGCCGACAGCGCCACCAGCTTCGCGAGAAGCTTCTCCTCTTCTCTTCTGCCGTGCTCTGCGGGGCTTTGAAAGGAAACCCCAGAAGCTGGCGAGATCCCACTCCCATCCACCACGGCCCCAGCTCATGACGTGTTGAGAGGGAAGCGTATTGACTCCGAGCAGAGGAGAGCAGAGCGCGCGCGTGGGCGTGGCCATCCTCCGCCTCCGCTTCCGCCATTGGAGCTGTGATTTGCTGGTGCTGGGGATGATGCCCAAGCTGCTGCTGCTGCAGGCGGCGGCGGCGGTGGCGGACAGGAGGTGGTACGGCTCCGGCGGCCGCCGCGGGTACCTCCCCCTCCGCCACCCACCACACGTCGCCCCCGGCAGATTCACCGCCTGCCTGCTCGCCGTCGCCGCCGTCACCACCACCTTCGCCCTCGCCCTCACCCTCCACCGCCCCGACCTCTCCTCCGCCGCCGCCTACGCCGCCTCGCCACGGTGAGCGCACGCTCCCCCTTGCTCCCTCCACTAATTGCTCTCTCGCCGATAAACCCGCTCCAATGTCTCCTCCTCCTCCTCAGCGGCGTTGGCGGCGGCGGCGGCGCGGGATACGCGGTGGTGATCAACACGTGGAAGCGCTACGACCTCCTCAGGAGATCCGTCGCGCACTACTCCGGCTGCGGCGGCGTCGACGCCGTCCACGTCGTCTGGAGCGAGCCGGAGGAGCCAACCGAGGAGCTCCGCGGGAGCGTCCTCAACTGCAGCGACGGCGGCGGCGCGGGGGTGCGGTTCGTGATCAACGCGGAGGACAGCCTCAACAACAGGTTCAGGCCCATCCAGGGGCTCACCACCGACGCCGTCTTCTCCGTCGACGACGACCTCATCGTGCCGTGCTCCACGCTGCGGTTCGCCTTCGCCGTGTGGCAGAGCGCGCCCTCTGCCATGGTGGGCTTCGTGCCCCGGATGCACTGGCTTGCTGACCCGGTATGCACAAATGCACTGCACACTGACGAACATTTCTGAATGTTTTGGTGCATCATGAGTAATATCTCGCTGAATTTTTGGTGCATCATAAGTAATCTGCACATTAATTTATTTTTGAAAGACCACATGATACGTATACTAATTGAGGATGACTACACATGGGTGGCTACTTCTTGGTGTAATTGCTGAATTTTATTGAGGAAGTTAGTTATGCCAATTGGAGTGTCTGCTTCTGCAGGGAAGTAATGCAAAGGAATACAGATATGGAAGCTGGTGGTCAGTTTGGTGGACAGGGACTTATAGCATGGTTCTCTCCAAAGCAAGTTTTTTCCACAGGCAGTACTTGGATCTGTATACCATTCGCATGCTTCCGTCTATTCGTGATTATGTGAATGAAAACAGGTGAGATTCATATCTTACTAGTTACTACCGCAACATTTCTTCAGAAAGTTTCTTCAGCTGCGGGTATTATTATGCTATCTGAATAATCTGATGGTCATTTGTGTAGTATACTAGTAAGTCTTACCATTTTAACTGATTATTGATAGGAATTGCGAGGATATTGCAATGTCCTTTCTTGTGGCAAATGTAACTGGATCTCCACCAATATGGGTTCAAGGTCAGTAATCATCCTTGTGCAGCAATGAAATCATTTTCAGATCGAGAAACTTGCAGACCCCTATTTAGTTCAATTAGTCACACATCATGCAACGACACTTTGCATTTCTTCCCAGTATTGGAGAATTTCCTCTTGGAGTATGAGCAGCAGCAAATCAATGTAGTTGTCTGAAACTTTGCTATCCTTTTATATGCTTGTCAGTTTTTGTGATACCTTCTGTATTACCTTGAATCAGCAAGAACCATGTGGAAGCACTGTCTAAATTCATGTGACAAACCAACAACGAAGATCAATAAAATAAGAGTATAAGATGATTTGCTATTTAGCCTGCTGCTATTGTTGTCAGGAGGCCATACTGAAGTTCCCTTTCGTGATGTTACTGCAGGAAGGATATTCGAGATTGGATCAAGCGGCATTAGCAGTTTGAAAGGCCATGATTTACAGAGATCAAAATGTCTCAATACATTTTCTGCCATGTATGGGCATATGCCTCTTGTAGCCACCACAGTCAAAGCTGTTGATAGCCGCACAAGCTGGTTCTGGTGATGGTTCTGTTTTGCCTTCCCTTAGGTGCTGCCTGCCTATTTGCCTAGCCAATATTATAAGGCTAGTGTAATCATGTGCATGATTCATCAACAGCTAATGACAAGGATTATATTGTACAAACTGATTCTTTGGAGGAGATATTGTACACCTGAAACTAAAGGCTTTGATTGATTTTCTAATCAATTGATAAATGAGATTTATGTGGCTAAGTACTTGTCCTAACTGTTTGGAAACGTGCACATCTGGGGGTTCATAACGGAAGGCAAATGTACCTACCAAATCACTAAAGTGAGTTCATCATATGGCGTGTTACGTGTACATGTGTCTAGAGTTTGAAATTTAGTTTTTTTTTTCTCAATTTCTTTCTTCTTGAAATACATCACATTATGTGTTCTCCTATGGATAATTGCTTCATCCATGTATAAATGGCAAGAAATAAAAGAGTAAGTTTAAATAGGGCCAACAAAAAACAAACTAAATTGAGTTTAAATTTCACCCAAATTTATTTCTACGAAATTTAAATTTATCAGGAATTAAGTTCAATTCTAACTTCAAAATTTACAAACTTCGTTTCCCGTAATTTTTATTTTTGTTCTTTTCAAATGTCGAACGCTGATGGTGTCCATGGCTAACTCGTGTGTGGCTGCGACGGTTGCACCAAGATTGTGAGGATAAGGAGAGCTTTGCTCCAGTCTAACCAGGCTGAACTGCCACGCTCACACCCTTCTCCTCCTCCTCTGCTATCTGCTGCTGCTGCTGAAAAATTCTCTCGAATCGATCGCCCGATGGTGGTGGCCATCGCTACCGAAGCGTGGGCGCTCGCCGGATGCGGCGCGGCGGCCAAGTCGGCGGCCGCGGCGGCGCAGGAGGCGCCGGTGCAGCTGCAGCAGCATAGTCTTTCTGCAGCCAGGGCCAAGAAACCGATTTCGTTCAGAGCGGTGGCGGCGGCGGCGGTCAGTAGCCAATGCCACCAAGAACGGCGCGCCGTCGTCGTCGGGAGACGCAGCGGCATGGCGTCCTGCCTGCTCGCCGCCGTCGCTGCCTCCCTCTCCGGCGCCGGTGAAGCGCGGGCCGCGGTCCTGGAGGCCGACGACGACATCGAGCTCCTGGAGCGCGTCAAGGAGGACAGGAAGAAGCGGCTCCAGAAGCAGGGCGTCATCAGCTCCTCTGGCACCGAGACAGGTCGGCTCATCATACATCAGAGCAATTTCATCTAGCTAATTTCTTCAATGATTATCGATTAATCTCTCTTGTGCTTGTTAATTGCACTCTAGTTTTAATTACAAGCCACAGGGTACTTGCAGGATCTCATCTACAAGCTGAGCAAGGTAGGGCAAGCCATTGACAAGAATGACCTCCCTGCTGCAAGCAGTGTCCTAGGCCCAAACTCTGACGCTCAGTGGGTTCAGAACATCAATGTAGCTTTCACCAAGGTTCCATTTCTCCATCCTGGACTCAGTTTCTTCTGAATATTATTTGATATTTCCTTGTCAAGTTGTGTAGTTTATTTCATCTGATTCAGAACCACTGTTTGCATGCAACAGTTTAGCTCTAGCCCAGAGGAGAAGAACATGGTCGATAGCTTCAATTCCTCCTTGGCCTCCTTGATTACATCTGGTACACTGGCTCTTGTTCTTCTTCTGTTCTCTAGAATCTGAACTTACCCTTTTCTGTCTAAAAAAGGAAGATTCTCTCAGTGATTTTTCTGTTATGCCAATCTGAATCTGAAACACTGCATGTATGTATCATCTTGTTGCAGTGAACAAGAGTGATGTTGATTCATCCAAGTCGGCGTTTGTGTCGTCAGCCACAACGCTGGAGAAATGGATAGCTTCAGCCGGTTTGAGTGGTCAGCTCAAAGGATTCTAAATTTCTGACGCCAATTGAATCTGAATCGCCTGACAAGTACATGATCGGAGTAGCATTTCCTTGAAGCAATGGTCTATATATAATGCGTCAATACCAGTAAGAATGTTTTGTCCAAGAAAAAGAATTTGAAGATATGGATTCGGCTGCTGTGAATCTTCGAAGAGGGTATTGTAACTGAATCTTCAGTTCAGACAGAATATGTGATAATAGCCATGGCTCTGTTTTTTCTCTCTCTCCGTGGGAAGTAAATTGCATCATTTCGTATATCACGAGATTCTTTGCAATGCAGAAGAAAATTTAGCAAAGTTTCTTTGTTTTCATGTCTATATAGCTTTCGTTTGCAAGCAATTGACATGTCTGTTCATATTCTTAATTTACACCAGTGCAATATGAATTTCATATCAGAAACTGAGTTTTTTTTTTGAGAAAAACAGAAACTGAGGTATGACCACCGTGAAATTTTCAATGACACAATAATCCATGGGAGAAACAAAATTTTGAGGAATTCAAGCAAAAATAATTAAATCGAGTTTTTTTTTTCAGGAATTAATGCAACCTCCTCCAGAAATTTCATTTTAAAAAATATAAAAGAGCAGGAAATATAATTTGAAAGTTTAGTGGATATTTATCTTATATAATGGATAAATATAGGTGTAAAAGTTGAATTTCAGCTCGCACGTTTTGTAGAGTGGTATATCACTTATTAATTTATCTTATAAAATATTTTTAAAAAATTCATAATCATTTAGATGATATACAAACAACAAGAGTTTAGAATCCCCTGCCCTCGTCCCTCCATACACTTCCATATGTTTGATCGAGTTTAGTATCCACTATCTACTACCAGTGGTGTACCTAGCTGAAAGCTGATACTCCGGCGAGCCGTGGAGCAAGCACCTCGCCTCCTCGAGCTCGACGGCGTCCTGCGTCCATGGATGCTGATGCAGCTTCCGCAGTCCACCCAGCCTCTCGGCGACCTCCTTCATCGCCGGCCTGTCGGCGCCGCACATCTGCAGGCACTCGAGAGCCAGCCGCGTGATCTCCTCCAGCGACTCGCCGCTCGCCTCGCGCTTCACCTGCTCGTCCAGCATCTCGCCCACCTTCCTCTCCCCCATGGCCGCCACGAACCTCGCCGACAAGCTCCGCTCCTCCTCCGGCCCGTCGAGGCAGAGCGGCTTCTTGCCGGTGAGGAGCTCGAGCAGCACGACGCCGAAGCTGTACACGTCGCTCTTCTCCGTGAGCTGGCATGTCCGCATGTACTCCGGGTCGAGGTAGCCGCACGTCCCCTGCACCATGGTCACCATCTGGGCCTCGTCGGTGGGCGCCAGGATGGAGGCGCCGAAGTCGGACACCTTCGCCATGAAGCTCTCGTCGAGGAGGATGTTGGAGGATTTGACGTCGCCGTGGAGGATCGGCGGCGACGCGAACGAGTGCAGGTACGCGAGCGACTCCGCCGACTCGTGCGCGATCCGGAGGCGAGTGGCGAACGAGATGACTCCGCCGTCGCCGCCGCCGCCGCCGCCGCCATGGATGAGGTGGTACAAGGTGCCATTGGGGACGAACTCGTAGACCAGCATGGGGACGTCGACCTCGAGGCAGCAGCCGAGTAGCTTGACGATGTTCTTGTGGTTGACCTGGGAGAGGATCAGCATCTCCTTGCCGAACTCCTTCTTGTTCGTCTCGTCCATCACCTTGCACCGCTTGATGGCGACGACGAGGCCGTCGCCGCCGGCGGGCACGATGCCCATGTAGACGGTGGCGTGGCCGCCGCGGCCGAGGATGTTGCCGTCGTCGAAGCCGTTGGTCGCTTGCTCGAGCTGCTCCTCCATGTAGATGGTGAAGGTGTTGCCCGGCCTTGTGCTCAGCTCGTCGTAGAGAAGCAGGCCGCCGTGCCGCTCGAAGTACTTGCGCTTGACGTCGGCGAGCGCTCGCCGCTGGCGCATCAGGTATGTGATCAAGATGGCTATCACGGCGATGACGACGCCACCGCTAACGCCTGTTTATAATGTGATTACGATCGGCGTCACAATAATAATTAAATTAAGTACTGTAAATCCAACAAATAGAAAAAAAATTGCAAACTGAAGCAATGTGTTTACTTTTATCAGTATAAAGGAAAATGATTGTGCATGTTTAGTCCATGACTTGTGGAAGTTCAGTTGATTAATTGATAGATCAAGGGAAAGGAAAACTCTAATGCATGGCTGGAAAATAATTTTCCTCCCTTCGTTCTAGAATTTAATATGCTTTTGGTTTTTACGATAAAAAACGTTTTTGATTTGTCCTAAGTGATAAAAAAAAGTTAGTAGCATCTAAAAAGTCCAATTTTTTTTTACTAAATACACTATTAAATATATTTTTATAATATATTTGTTTTGTCTTTAAAATATTGCTATATGCGTGTATACTTCTCCGTTTTCTCATTGACTTTAGGATATAAGTTTGGTCATTCCTATTATTAAAAAGATTTTTTAATTATCATTTATTTTATTGTGATTTATTTATCATTAGCATGAGTTATATTTTTACATATTTATATAAAATTTTAAATAAGACAAATGGTAAATGTGTGTCTAAAAGTCAATGGCGTCAAACTAAAAAATAGTAAGTGTATTAAATACGATCAAATTTAAGGAAGTTTGACTTATAACAAAGCTAAAAAGGATAGAGTATCATTGATAGTATCATTTTGGTCGTAAATTAGAGGAGATACTTACTCCGGTTCCATAATTTTTGACGTTTTAGATATTGATAAGGTCTCCAAAATATATCTTTGACTATATTTTTATTATAACATAATAGATAAATAAATATTTTTTATTTTTATTATAGTACTTTAGAAAATTATAAACAATATATATGTTGTTATATTGTTTTTAAAGTTATTGATATTCAAAGTTAAAGAAGTTTCACTTCAATTTTATTTAAAACGTTAAAAATTATGGAAAGTATAAGATATTGAAGGGTGTGAAAATTATTACATACCGATAACTATGATCACGGAGACCGGGAGGGAAGACCGTTTCTGGTCTGACTCGCAGATCAATACTCCATTTTTGTTGCTCTTGTACTCCCCTTCCGGACACGAGCAATTGTATCCGCCGGGGAAGTTTGTGCAAATCATTCCATCCGGACATCCATGTTTTCCTGGACCGCATTCATCGATATCTGCATGCGAAGAAATTGGATTTTGCCCTTATATTTTAAGACAAGCAAAATTCTGAAACCTATAATCTTTATCAATTGCGCGAGCTGTTGGATCTAGTACGTTTGGATAACCGAGGTGTACGGAGAGAGACCATTCATGTCCTAGACATGTTCGCGATCTATATATTTTCAACAGTACTATACCTACATGTAAAATATTAACCTTAAATTCATTCTATTTTAGTCGTAAAAAATAACAGTTATAAGACCATATACGCTTGTTAAAATTTTGTATTTTTTCTTTTTATATGTATGATGAATTCGAGGATAGATGTATAATTTTTCTAAAATATTCAATCATATTTATTAGCTACTCTCTCTGTCCCTTTAAACTTGACGTTCTGGCTTCTGGTGAGAGTACCAAGACATTGCAAAAATAACATGTACTGTCCTATACTTCTATCGTTACTAGTACTATACATTCATGTATGCTGGTTTGGGGTGAGAGAGCGGTGAGTGGTGTGGCAGAATTTCAGACTAGTTGAGTTGTGGTAGAGTAGGTCTGAACTACGAAGACAGGCTCTCAGCGACACTCTTTGTGAGACATTGCTTCAACGCTAAAACGACCTCCTTTTCGGGACGGAGGGAGTAGTGTATACAATATATACACGAAAAACATTGTGTTTATAGGATACGGTTCTTCAAGAGAAGATCCACTTCCGTATATACGTACGTACCTATGCATCCGTTGGGGAGGTAGGGGTTACTCAACGGATGTAATTATAATTTATTTTGTTGTAAGTTGTTTTATCACTAATTGTACTTTAAACATAATGATTTATATCTTATGTATTTTTGTAAGTTATTAGCATTATCTATTAAAAAACAGGAAGTACGTACCTACGCATCCGTTGGGGAGGTAGGGGTTACCGGTGTACCCCTGCGAGCAGTTGCACACGTAGCCTGGGGCACCGTCGACGCAGACGCTGTGATCGCTGAGGCACGCGTAGGTGTCGCTCGTCTGAGCCTCCTTGCACGTCTCGCTGCCCACCACGAAGCTGAGCACCACGGGAACCGTGCCGTTGCTGCTCTTCCGGTAGAACCCGTCCGCCGCCGCGTCCGCCGCCTCGAAGCTGAAGCTGGCCGCCTCCATCAGCGTGGCGTAGAAGCAGCGGTTCACCGGCGAGCCGCCGGGCATCCTTTCCATGGCGAGCAGGTAGGAGTTGAGCCCCTTGGGGATGGCCGTCTCGCAGCACCCGATGTTGGAGCAGGAGCCGGTCCTGATGCTCGCGTTGCCGAAGCATGTCGAGATGCAGCCGATCACCACCCGGTCGTCGGCTCCGGCCGCCGTGCCTTGCAGGAGGACGACCCCGCTGCAGCCGACGGCGAAGAACCGGTTGTCCTCGTCGGAGAAGCGGTACGGCAGCGCCGCCGCGTTGAGCCCCTCCCACGAGGTGTTGACCAGCTTGCCCGTGCGCGCGTCCAGGCACTGCGACGCGATGGCGTTCGTCGTCCGGATCTTGCCGTGGAGCAGGTCGACGCCGAGCACCCTCACCGTCTGCTGCTGCTTCACGGGGCCGAGGCGGAGCTGCGGGGTGTCGCGGACGCAGTCGAGGCTGAAGCCGTCGGACAGCGAGCAGTTTGGCCCGATGCCGAACGGGTACTCGACGGCGACGCCGCCGCATGTCCTCGGGCACCCCGGCGGCGGCAGCGCCGCCGCTGCCGTCGCGAGCAGCAGAGTAAGCACAGCTAGGCCGAGGAAGAGCGGCATGGCCATGGGAGGTTGATGATTGATTATTAATTTAGTTTGCCCTGCATGCAGTGTAGGTGCTCTGCTGGATGCTAATTAAGCTAAACTAGCTACGTAACTCCTCTATATATAGTAGGAGAGAGATGCACTTATAGTCAAATACTAAGGTCCCGTGTTCAATCCATAACATACTCGTAATTTGTTTTTCAAAAAATGTTTGGAGGGACTTCCAACTACGGATTATCGAGTTGATTCGATTCATGGGTGGAGATAGAAAACAAACTGGTTATGAAAATGGAGATATCGAGTTGATTCGATTCGAGGGTGGAGATAGAAGACAAACTGGTTACGAAAATGGAGATATCCGGATCTAGAAAAGCAAGGGTTGTAGGTTTGAATTCATCAACCCAAAACAAAGTAAATCCCTTGACCAAGTGAAGACAAGCCCAGATTTGAAAAAAAAAATAGGAAGGATAGTTGTAGCTGTCTGGGAGCAGTGCCAAGGAGAATCAGAGCAGGTAAGAAAACAGGCACATTACTGTTCTCACAAAAATCCTGTTGAAAACTTATATGCATATGCCTAATATTTATGGATACCAGGATTTGAACTTTGATATGTGAAGTCATGTACCTACGATTATACCACTGCATCATCGTTGCTTCCCCACGTGCTTGATTAGTCGATACTTGATAGTACTGTGACCGTTCTTGTTGAATGATCAAATTAAGAGCAGTGCTCCCGTCCTGCGTATTGTACCGCGTGGTACCAAAACCCATCCAGCCGTTGATTTTACGGGGGTAGGATTGGAACTGGCAAGAAGTGAGGCGCCGGCGCACCACACGCTCTACCTCTCCCCCAAATCAGTCGCGAGAAGCAAACCCTAGCCGCCTTCAGAATCGCCCCGACCCGTCGCCTGCCCAAATTTCTTCGCTCGCTGCGATGGCGGCGCCGCCAGTACTGGAAGCCGCGGCGCTCGCGACGACGGCGGGGAGGTTATTGCTGGCGGTGGCAGCGACGACAGTTTATCCTCGTGTCTCGCCGGCGCTCCTGCATTACTAATTAGCCGTGAGCGGGCTAGGCGCGCGCGGCGCAGTCGCTCGCGGCGACGGCGGCCGGAAGCCACGGCGCTCGCGACGACGGCGGGGAGGTCAGTGCTGCAGGCGGCGGCGCAGTACTAGGTTTACCGGCGGATAAGTCTCTGCGATGCAGATTGGGACCAATTCGTTAGGGCAACACTACAGCACTCATCGATCCGGATATTGTGAAAAGACATCGCTACCCTTCTACCCAACGATTTCAGGCGGTACCGCGCAAAGGAGAAATTTGGTACCGCGCGGTACCATGCATTCCTGATCGTTAGATCTGTTTAAAAACCAGCGGCTGCGATTTGGTACAACCTTGGTACCACGCGGTACCTCGCGACGGTGCTGGACGATAAAATTTCTATCAAATTAATGCCAGTGAGAAGTGGCGACTAAACTAAACGATGGAGTGGAGTTTTGCATCAGCTGGACGATTCGTTGGTCCCTAGTGGATGTAGATTGATGAAGAAGATCGTCACCTTTTGAAGTGGTATTTTTCTTTATTAATTCTATATCGGTTTGCACATTTCTATCGGGGGACCGATATAAACGAACATTCGGACCAAATAAGTTATAATCTGAACAAATATTGGTTAAATTCAAACAATTTGTGTTTAATTATTATTATTTTGAATATTATATCGATCAAAATATTAAAAATAATAATAATTAAACACAAATTGAGTTCCGGAAAATTGAATCTCGCTTTCAATAGCCTATGGTATTGCATTCCTTGCGCATATATAGTTGGTCTGACAATTTCAGGAGCTTTCTTTTGTTAATTGTCTGGAGCGGGCGTTGACAACGGGCCAAGTCATATATATTTTGTTCTGGCGTGTCAACGGCCGTGTTTATAACCAATGTGCTTAAAGCGCTGCACCGGGTGTACCAATGTGCTTAAAACTTTGTCAATGTGCATCACCGGGTGTTTATCACCATAGAATATGCATATAATTCAGTAGCATAATTTTCCCACTTGGTTGCAAGCTAGAAACAGGCTACATACAGGATGATTTACTAGTTGTCCCTTCTTTGAGTTATCTGTGGCTGGAAGGGGAGATCTATCATCGATTTTCTAACGCACTTTAAAATTGAAACGCACTGGTGGCTGCATGCGTCAATGATGTAGAACCCAAAAACAAGGGCTGAATCAATGAAATTTAGATAACAAACTAACCTCAGGTGATGTATTGTCAATTTTTCATTGATACAAGTAGAGACCATCGTAAATTTGTCGCAATTCTCATAATAAAAGTGTGTATCCCTATCATTTAGAAAGGATGTTTCGTCCGTTCAAACCACTCCCATTGTGCGATGTCCCACTGTAATAAGTGAAAGAAAAACTGCTATCTCCCTGAAAAGCCAGGGGGAGCGCCGTGACCAAATCGGTAGTCCAACCGAGCCTTACCATTCTAATAACTCTTTTTCTTTTTTTTAGAAACACGGTACCGTAGACGTTCACAACGTATACATATTGCGCACACACAATCCTTATGAGCACATCCGAAAGACTGAACCGGCATATCTTGAGATTAACAAAGTCACCACAGACACTTCGCTGTCGACGGGTACGTCGCCTACCACCAAAAGAATAAAGAGCCATAAATGCTAACACCCGTATCAAATCTAGGATTTAAACCCAGGTTGATTGGTTCTATCACAAAAAATTTAACTAATTAAGATACGCTCACTTCACACCATTCTAATAACTTGGAGAAATGGAACGCCCGAAAAAAAAAAAGAGCCGCAGACCACAACCCACTAGACCACAATTTACCCCCCACTGTGGCCCAAGCAGCAGTCCTTACAAACAATAAGGCCCATGCGTACTGACAGCAGTGGGACAAGCGAACTCCAATTTCAGCATTCACTTGACTTAATAAAAATATCAATTTTAGTACATGCCAGAGAAGAATATGTAACCCATAGACTGCGGATTCAGCACCACCGCTACTAATGGTTATCTTACAAAACCGCATCATTGTAAGGCACACCTACAATACCATCAGCAAGCATATGGGAAGACAGATCCCCTTACATGCTCTGGAGATACAACTCATCCAAACTTGTCGAATTAGAATACTGGAACTAACGAAGAAAAGGCTAATAAATTTCCCTGCCCAAACATGTATGTACAGATGACCGATGGCTGCTCAACCTGCAAACACAAGGTGAATGCCATTGCAAAGATCAGCCATACAAGAAAACATCATATTCTTTGATTGATAAAGTACTACCACACAAGCATAAGGTGGTGGTATGCACTATTGTTATGGCTAACTGTGAACAGGAAAAAGAGGGTTGGGAAGAATGATTACCTGTGTGTTCACCACCTGTAGAATCTGAAAAGTTATTTTGCTCAGAAGGGAGGAACGGTGACTTGCCATAATTGTCTAATATTTCTGCAAGATAAGTAAATGTGGAGAGCAAACAAAAGTATGAGGAATGAAAAATGGTACTCAAATCAGAAAGCAAAATAAATCAATATTGTCATTAGAATGTACCTGTGCTTTGACTGAAATCCTCTGGTAGGTCTGAAAAAAAATTTCGGGGAAGCTGACTCAAGAAGCCAAACGATGATGATTCAATATCCAAAATTGAATCATCCAGAGGTTGCCCATTCAACTCTGAACTGCTAAAGGATCCACCAGATGCATCACCTATTGACTGGCATGATTCCAGGAAAGCATTCCCGCAGAAACCAAAATTACCATTGCTCGAATAGCCTGATTCCGTCTTAATAGTCGTCCCATTTTCCACACCAAACAGCACAGAATTAGCATTCTGCACTGGAAGCAAATTGGAAGCATCCATGCTACTATGAAGGCCCTGAATGTCTTTACCAGCATAAATTAATTGATCGCTGGATTGTGTGCGATCTACTATGCCACTGGAATTTCCATTGCACATTACATCATCTGGCATTGCAGGCATCGGAGTAGACTCTGATAAAAAGCATGGATTTTGCTTCACTGAAACAAGGAAAACAGAAGGCCATATTAAAATGAAACAACCCCGTAAGAGGACAGTCTGTACTCAACTAAATGCCTAGCCCTGCAAACAAAGAAAATAAAGAATGGAAAGTAAAGGCAAGCAAATATCTTTCTCTTGAGCAACCGTGTTGTGCTCACCTAATAAACACAAACTTCCTGAGCTTACACTTGGAAAAGATCATTTTCAGAAACATTAAATTCTTCAGGCTCCCAAAGAACTAATTATTTGTTCACCATTATACACTCACTTAAACAATGGGGTATTGCATTACTACTCCAGTTATGCTCATATCAGTCATTGCTAGAAGCTTAAGTCTGAAAAAAATGCCTTACATAGGTTTGAGTTGGAACCATTGGGAAGAGGCATAGAAGAAGGCCCTGGATGATATTCTTTATTTATAATCCTTAACTGGTCCTCAAGAAGTTTGTTGAAGGCTGTTATTTGGTTCTTAAGCATCAACCTCAAATAGTATGCTTTGAAAAACTCACGATTATTCTCCTCGAGTTTCTGCCAAACTGGAAAGAGCAAAAAGAAAATCAACCAGATGTTAACAACAGCCTACAAAAAGAAAATCAACCAGATGTTAACAACAAAAATGATCTAACAATAATAAAAGGGCGCAAATCAAGATAAACATAAACAGTTTCCTAGTTATGTTCCCTTTCTGTTTGACAGAGCCCTCCTGAAACATAAAGTAGGTTCGTAGAGGGGACGGAAAAAAGAATATTTAGGCAGCATATAACAGTGTTTATTGCAAAATTGATGACATGGTTTTTTACCTAAACCATATTTGTGTTGAGTGAACCAGCATATGTCACAATTCCACAATCATAATTGTAACAAGATAGCAACCCATCCAACTATGCATGACCTGCGCTGTTACTAGCCAGTTCTGAAACCTAAGACCAACTTGCAAGTAAGCTAAATGAAACTTTTGGCATACAAGGTAAGAGCACTACCATGCTGTGTAACACTAGGTTCTATTTTTGCCTCACGGGAAAGGGCATCAACAACTTCTTTCTTGTCCATGTATAGCTGAAGGCAGCAATGGATAAGATTCTGGACCTGGAACAAAAGTTAGCAACAAGAGTTATCCATCAGCTCAATTGAATATGTATTAATTGTTCAAGCATGCTACACATAAAATAAACTGTGTGTTATCCAAAGGTAGTTTCTAAGCATGATTCAGCATAAACGAATGCAAAGAATATCCATAACACGGACCTTGTGTGCTTGCATGCATTGCAGGCTGAACAAGTAATTAGAACCCTACTAGGTATCACAATCCGAGATTATCCCTACCCTACTAACTAATTGGCAGGTGATCACAAACCCTAGAATGGCACTGTCACTATAAGCACGCAAATCAAACTTGAGTGGCACTGTATCCTCTGCGAAGAGGCCAAGAACCAACGAATTCAGTAGCAAAACCCAACAAGAATCAACAAGCGTTCTACATGAACCAAACAAGGCACTGAACTACTACTGACGATCAGCTGTATGTCCTAACGACAGACCTTGTCGACGTCCGCTCCTGACATGTCGCCGGCGCTTTCTCCACTCCTCCTGCCCTAATCCCCTCCTGAACCTTTCCCCTGAAAAATCCGCAAGAAGCAGTGCTAGCATCAGCCAACAACAACACAAGATTCAGGCCCAGTTCACGGATCATACCTGCCCTGGTCTTCCCCGCGAGATAATTTCAGCTCTCCCTTGCAGCGAGGCGGAGAAGAGAGAAAACTCCGGCAGTGAGGAGATCACGAAGGGGAGGAGCGGGGAGAGGAGCGGAGTAGCCAGCCACCAGCTCGAGATGCAAGGGAGAAGAGTAGGGAAAAGGAAGGGGAAGGGGAAGTGGAAGTGGTGGTGGGCTGAAGTGGGAGTGGGGAAGAGGAGAGGATTCCTAATCCACGGCTCTGTCCGTTCTGGAATCTGGGGCACCAGAAACACTTCTGCACCAGTTCTATGGGAACCCTTTTTTTATACTGCCTGCAAGTGATGGAGAAGCTTTCTGCACAGAATTAATAAATTGCAGTCGATTCAGTCCAATTAGGCCATAAAAAGTGCCTTAACTGAAAGTGTGCTCAATGATTGGATGCAATTAGCAATAGGAGAAAAAGATATACAAATATACACATATGAACTTACTGACTGATGCATAAGAAATTGCAAGGGGGCACAAGAAAAGGGAAAGAAAGTGAGAAGTGGAGGCACTTTCCAGCTAGGTTGCTAACCGGCCATCCTGTCACCATTTGACACAACCCCATCCAACGCCAGTGCTCACTTCATCCACTGGCCTGCACTCCGCGGTTTTAGACTTAGTGCTTGTGCTCAAAACAGTAGTCAGCCTCCACCACCATATGCAGCAAAATAGTCTCCTGCAATGATCAGGGAGACAGCTGAATCAATACCAACGGAAATCTGATAAAAGCCTGTTTGGATTGTATTAATAAGCATAGAAAATAATTTCAGACCTGTCAGAACAGTCAGAGGTTCACTTGGCAGATGTGCTCATAACGTGCAATGGCAGTTACACGATTTAACCATTGATTCCAGGCCCAACCAAATAGAAAAGGCACCTTGCCACGAACATCTTTTACCACAAAAACAGAGTAACAAGCGATGCAATGTGGTGTGAGGATCTGATCCTCGCTGCCTTTTTTGGATGGCAAGAGAACCTTCTTATGCGGTGCAAATGTTTATCTCAAACTAGTAGATAATCCATGGTGCCGATATGGTTTTAATTCCAAGTGCTAAGCTCGGTGACTGACCTCAATTAAGCTGTGACCGCTCTTCTTCACTTCCTTCACATTTGTCATCTCTTTAATCCTTAAAGCAGTTTCTCTGTCCCCAATATCATTGAAAAAATTTGATACCTGCAAAGTGGTGGCTGGATCTTTTCTCCCTACATCTATCAGCATGTTGGCAGCTCTCTTTCCCAGCACATTTTCACCATGTGCTTTGCAGCTCTGAAGAAGTGAGCTCCATGCCTTGGTGTAGTGTCTCAATGGGGACTGTTCCATCATTTCCATTGCTTCCTTCACAAAACCATCTCGACTGAGAAGGTTGACCATACAAGCAAAATGTCTTTCATCAGGATCCAGCTCACGGCTAGCTCTCATGAGTTCAATCACCAGCCGTCCTTCTTCAAACATTCCTGCCTGATCACATCCTGCAATTGCACACAGAAAGGTAACATTGTCAGGCTTCAGGCCACTAGAAACCATCTGATCGAATAGCTCCATTGCTCGTGCTCCATCTCCATATCGAGCACAGGCAGATATTATAGCAGTGAAGCATATCACATTTGGATCCAACAATCCTTCAAATATCAAGTGTGAACTGCTCAGTTGACCAGCGCAGGCATAAGCAGTGATCAAGGAGGAGCACACAGCCATGTCCATTTCAAATCCCAATTTAACAAGACAAGAATGTAGCATTTGACAACTGGTTAAACTTGGTGAAGCTGACAAAGATATGGCTTTCATAGTTGCAGAGAAAGTCACATCATCAGGTGTCACTCCCTCTACAATCATACAATGCAATATCTCTAAAGCAGCATCAAACATGTTGCAGCCAAGCGATGATGTGATCAGCGAATTGCAGCACTCCAGTGCAATACTTGGAATTTCATTGAATATTGCTAATGAATGATCAAAACAGCAACACTTCCCATACATATCAATGAGCGTAGTCTGAACATGCACACTACTACAACTGAATCCAAGCTTATGAACAATGCCATGTATCTGAACTCCGAGTTGCCAGTCCCCCGTTTTGCCAGACAAAGCAAGGAGCGAAACAAATGAGCGAACTGAAGGCATCTTGCCATGCCAAAGCATCTGTTTCAAGTAATAAACTGCTTCCTTCATATGTCCTCTGTCAGCGTACATTGATAAAATGGAGTTCCATGAGATGACATCCTCAGACAGGATATCATTCAGTGCCTTCACTGTGTCCACTGAATCTCCAATTGCAGAGTAAAGATCTACAAGAGAATTTGACAGGAAAATGTTGGATGGAATCCACCCAGCCTTGAGAACAACTCCATGGAGTTGCCTGCCTTGTTCTAGCCATTCACCATTTTGATAGCACCCTTTCATGGCATAACAATAGGATAAGCCATTCAGCTCCAAATACTGCCGTCTCATATCAAGAAAGCAGCAGATAAGTTCTTCAGTCAGCTTCAGGTTGCCCAAGCCACGCAGTACCACATTGCACATGGCTGTGTTCTGCAGCGGCAGTTCCCGGAACAATGAGAGGGCAGCATGTGGTGATTCGACATGCATATAGTGATTAACAAGCGCAGATCCAACAAATGGATTGCAACACAAGCCTAGGGCCAGCACCCGGCCATGGAGTTGCAGTGCCTCGTAAGTGCTGCACACTCCCAGGATTGTAGAGAAGGTATGAGGGGTCTCCCTGATGCCTGAAGCGACCATCCACCTGTAGACAGCACGGGCCCGATCAGCAAGGCCGTCCCTGATGAAGCCTGTGATCATACGGTTCAAGGACGCGACGTCTCGGACAGCCATGGTCACAGACGATCTTTCCACAGACTATGATGGGTCAAACAAAGAGGAATGCGAAGGGGAGAAGGCCAGTTCAGAAGAATTTCCGGAGCAGGTGACACTGTTCCATACTTCCAGTTTCCATCAGCTAACAGCGAGTTCCCCCAGTGAAGAGAAACAGCAGTAGTATTCCTTACGAAGAACCGCATCATTTATCAACTCGGTGGCTTCATCACTGCCGCCGCCATCACCAACCGTCGTCGGAACGGATCTCTTTCGTTTGGCATCTCTGCATCATCCTGAGTATCCCACATACAGAAGACATCAGGGGAAAAAATAAAACAAAAGAAAAGCGCAATCCAACTTGGGAAACAGAAGAACGAACTGCTCCTCCTTTTAGGCGGAGGGGGGTGAGCCGGCAAGATTGGATTTTTACCTCAGTGAGAAGGGAGCCGGGGACGACGGGATTGGGCGTACGAGCACAGGAGCATCACGGCGGCTGGGCGGCAGGAGGAAGACGACCCTTCTGTCTGGCTGCTTTTGCTTTCCGTCGTCTGCCCCTAAAGGCCTGAAGATAGTTGGCTGGCCCATCCAAAAAGCCCACAAAGCCCATCAACTACCAACCCTGGGGATTGAACTGAGAGCAGCACTGCTGTGATGCTTTCAGTGACACAGGCACACAGCTGACCTCTTTTTCCTGAAAACGCATATTACTGGTAACAGAGTATCAACATGACAACCAGAGTGTAATTAAGGAGAAGAAAGAGTACCTTTGTTGATCAGAAATTCAAGTGCAATTCCAAACTAATGCGAACAACTCCAGTTTACAATGTTCCTAAACCTCAGCTTTTTCACCAAAAACATGGAGTACTATAAAATGGTATTTACCAAAAATCGTTGCAAGAACATGCCCCCTCTCTGAAGTGGTGGAACCTACTCCGGTCTCTGACTATGATTTCCCGGTTCCAAAGCCTGGAGATCAACTTGATTGCAGAGTGGCAGTCCTCACATACCCTGAGATTCTTTATGATATGAACCGGCAAGTTTGGTGCTAGACTAACGAGGCCAAAAGCAATGGCTAGCTTCTCACTGTGTGCTAGCAGTGTCTGTTCTTTCTCTTCCTCATCGACATCCACTGTTACCTGTGATGTAATCGGCGAATAGCCTGCTGACTTTAACCTGTGTGAGATCTCCTCTAGCATTGCGATGATCTCCAATATCCGTGGATGTGATTTGTCACTAACTACAAACTTGTGCACCTGCCCAGCCACAGTAACAGAACTATAACCTGCAGTTTTCTTAACTTGCCTTTCTTCCATCAACATCCTTATCTTTGACGCATCTTCCCATTTTCTAGAGTCTATGCATATGTTATATAACTGGACATAGACAGCATCCTCGTCAGGTTCTATCTTCAGAAGATGCTCAGCGGCACATTGAGCTAAGTCTATGCGTTTATGGACTCTGCAAGCACTCAAGATGGATGCCCATATGACAGAATTCGGTTGCATGGGCATGGTCTTAACAAGATCCATTGCTTCATCCAAAAGCCCACTGCGTCCCAGCAAATCAATCATGCAGCCATAGTGCTCAATCTGAGGATGTATGTTGTACAAGATTCTCATCTCATCAAAGTACAGGCGGCCTTCGTTCAATAGACATGAGTGGCTGCATGCAGTCAAAACAGCAATGTAGCTAACTGGATTAGGCTGGAAGCCGTCACACCTCATCTGGTAGAAATATTCCAGACCAGCCTTACCCATCCCATTGAATGCGAGACCTGCGATCATAGCAGTCCAAGCGTGAACATCTCTCTTGCCCATACGTTGGAAAACAATGGTTGCCTCATTGACCCTCCCACATTTCATGTACATGTCCAGCAGTGCAGTACCAATGTATATGTCTGTTTCCACCAGCCTCAGCTCAATGCAAGCATGTAATGCCCTGCCCTGTGGTAATGCACCTAAGCTTGCACAAGCAGATAGAAGGCTCACCACCGTAAAGTTGTCAACACGCAGATCATGTCTCCTCATATTCATGAACAATAGCAACGCCTCTCTAAGCTGGCCGCTGTGGATGTACCCAGTGATCATTGAGTTGAATGTGATGATATCACGGACCTCCATTTGATCAAACAGAGACCGTGCAACATCAACATGGCCATGCTTGCAGTATCCATCAATTATAGCATTCCATGACTGAGGTCTTCGGCCTCTACCCACAGCATCAAAAACCTCTCGTGCATGACCAAAGTCACCACACTTCGCATACATGTCAATGAGCGCAACGACAAGATTTTCACTCATCGACATCCCCTTCTCCTTAACAAGCAAGTGCAGTGAACAGCCCAGCTCCAAATCCTTGAGCTGTGAGCATGCTGAGAGCACGCCAATAACAGTAACATCATCCGGTGCAATGCCTTCAGAAAGCATGTTCTTGAAGCAATCAACAGCCTCTTTGGCCCGATCAGCACGAGAATAGGCAGCAATCAAACTTGTCCACGAGATCACATCCCTCACTGGAGCCTGAGCCAGAAGGAGCCGCGCATCAGAAAGCATGCCCATTTTGGCCAGCCCACTGATCACCATTGTCCAGGAAACCGCGTCCTTCACAGGGATCTCGTCAAAAGCCCGTCGAACATCGCCAGCAAGCCCAAGCTCAGTGTACATATGGATGAGAGAATTCGCGACGAACGGCGCGGCAGACGGTAGCATGGTCCGCAGGCAGGCGGCGTGCAGCATCGTGCACAGGAGGGCGCGGGGGCGGGAGGAGGAGGAGCACTTGAAAAGGAAGTGGAACGTGAACCCGTCTGGTCGGACGGCCGCGCGGCGCATCCGGCGGAAGAGGACGAAGGGGATGTCCGGGTCTCCGGACGAGGTCCCGGCACGGAAGCAGGCGCGGAGGGCGGTGTCGAAGAGGAAGGTGGAGGCGGGCATTCGGTCGAACAGGTGGAGGGCGTAGCGGAGGTGGAGGGGATCGGATGGGGGCAGGCAGTTGACGAGGGAGTTGAGGAGGTGGTGGGCGGATGGCGGGTGGAGGAGGCGGCCGGAGGTGGTGAGGTGGGCGTGGAGCTCGGCGGCTTGCCGGACGGTGCGCGGCGTCGGCCATGGCGCCGGCGGCATGTCGCGGCCACTCCGCGGGCTCTGCGTGCGCTCGCGCTTGTGACGCTCTGTTACGCCGCTTGGACGGCCCATATAGGATTCAATCCACGTTGGTTTTATGGGCCGTCTCACCGTGACAGGCCGATTTTGGTAGGAAGCATTGCAGGTGAAGGTACATACGGCCTAATAATCCTACAGTAGTATAGTGTAAGTGTAACAGTGCAGCTTTAGGGCCATTTGAATCTGATTAAGATACAGTTTTTACTTCGATTTCTGTTATCACATTTTTTAAAAATTGTTAAATAGTACATTTTGTGAAAAAAATTATATATAAGTTTTTTAAAAATATTAAATATTTTTTTAAATTTAAAATAATTAAAACTCAATTAATAATTTGTTAATAGTTTTCTCATTTGCGTGCTCGTACTTAATCTTCATCTTCGGGCCTATGTGTAAACAACAAAATAAAACTAAGCCGAGCCACCAGACGTATGGCCTTGCTTGGCATAGCTCCGGATCTAAGATTTCTTAGAATTGAGTATTCCTAATTCCACAAATCTATGGATCTAGATCTATAATTACATTGATAATATTTGGATAAATCATTTTGTTTCGAGATAAAATTTAAAACTTTAAACCACTATAATTTAACATACAAACTTCAAAATTTATCGTGAATCTGGGATCAGAGTTGTGTCAAACAAGACATACACATACTTATTGTGTTTTGTCACGTCAAACATTTCACTAAGACGACGCCTGCCGACCACCGCGCATGCGTCCCTGCCGTCCTGGTATACGGTGCATGCACGTACCCGGCATGGCCATGCCACGGCGCCAATCGCCGCCCATGATTCGCCCATCCACTGCACGCTACAAATACCCGCGCGCCGCGCGAAGCAGCCGATCCCATCACACGCACACTGACACACAGTCACACACCATCCCGCTCTCTCCATCGATCTCCATCACAAGCTAGCAAAACCAAGAGCCAAGTCGAGCAACACATCATACAATGGCGGGCATCAACCGCAAGGGCGGCGCGGCGGCGGCGTACGCGGTGGCGCTGTTGCTTGCGGCGGGCGCGGCGGATGCGGCGGGGTGCAACCCGTCGGCGCTGTCGCCGTGCATGAGCGCGATCATGCTGGGCGCGGCGCCGTCGCCCGGCTGCTGCGTGCAGCTGCGGGCGCAGCAGCCGTGCCTGTGCCAGTACGCGCGCGACCCATCCTACCGCAGCTACGTCACGAGCCCCAGCGCGCAGCGCGCCGTCAAGGCGTGCAACGTCAAGGCCAACTGCTAAATTAAACTGCTGCTACTACTCTACTAGTACTAATGCTTGTGCAGTTTTGCTACTGCTACTGCTAGTAAATAAACGTGGTTGCCGCTAGCTAGGCAGCCATGATCATTGTGTGCATGTTTCAGTTCACTGTCACGTATGTATGGGGCTATATGAATGAAGTTCTGCTATGCTTGCTATCTCTTCAATGGGAATCTTGTTGTTATGTTGCTTTGTGTTACACATAAAAGAAAAGAGTTCAGCAAATTCAACAATCTATCGCATGGCTGGCTGCTAACATTCATACTAGAAATGTAATTAACAAGTGTGACTGCTAATTCTGTGGTAAATTTGACAACCATAGGTAGCACTCGCAGGGGGTACACGAGAGCTGCCGCTGCTGCACAATCCACTGGGTTCAGAGTACATAATAGTGACTGACGAATACATCAAAAGACCTATACAACTCTCGGTAACAACTAACAAGCAAACTGAAACTGCGATGCACACTTTCAAAAGCTCAAACCCAGAAAACCAAGTAGTCCTTCAAACATGGATTAAGAAGACAATCATTGTTTGCAGTTTTGCACTGTCTGCACTTTGCACTACTTTCAGTCAGGCACCCAAACTAGCAGTAAAAGAATACAGAATCTACAGCAGGATGCATTGCAGATTAATTTGTGGTAGAAGCAATTGCTGGCTTATCGTCTTTCTGTACACCCTGCAGTAAATAAGCCAATCAGGGAAAGTTTGTAAGCAAGAATTCCAGGCTTTTATGAGGTTAATTGCATTGCAGATATTGCTTTTTTATGTTGTCATACCCAAAAAAAAAATCACAAATACAGATTTTTTTTGTATACCAGTTTATCATGAAGAGAAATGTTATCTGGAATCATTGCCGAGGCAGATTTCGCACCAGAAGTCGTCAGTGACATACCCTTCTGAAGAGATTGATCAAGACTGCTGTTGCTTTCAGACAAATCACCATCAGGTAGGCCCTGCAGTGATAAACCGAAATATAAGAGAAGTTGTAATCAATGCTGCCCAATTACTTTGTTCAGAGGGCACAAACAGTGTAAGCTTTGCCTTCACCCTTTTTTTTAGAGAAGTTGCCTTCACCCTTGTGAAGCACGGCATATGTATGAACTATTGTAACGGGAAAGAAAATAGCAAGCAGTTGTATTGTACAGATTGTGAAAGGAAAAAGGATAAAGAAAAAAAAAAGAAGAAGAGAAATATGCATACTAGGTTGCCGTGAAATTTCTTCACATCTGGGAATGTTGGGAAGCCCATTATGGCATCACCATGAAGCATATTTTGTGAATTCAGCTCATGAAGCATATCAACCGTGAGACATATGTCAAATTCATTTGCCTGGAGTAACTCATCAATGAATTCCTCAGAGATATTCGGGAACATTAAAAGGACAGATTTGGTCAAAGCAAGTGGATCCATATCATTTTCCTCGCACATGGAAGGACGGCAAGCTCTAGCAGAAGGATCGTTCATCGAGGATGACTCTGCATAAATGTTTAGTCCAATTCAGTTCATGCAAAAATCCCGGAGATTTGTAATTTATTTCAGTTTCAGTTTCACCTGCTTGTCTCTTAGAATCATTGTATGTGAAAAGACTTAGTGAGGAAGGTATGAAAGGACTGGCATCTGGATTCAACTGGGACCGGCCTTCCATTGTTCTTTGTTGAACAAAAACTCGTGAAGTTCAAGAGAGGAGTTCAGTTAAAATCTGTGTGATCATGAGAGCCAAAGTATCATTGACATAAGAGATCATTTACTCAAAACAAGGCAGATAAACAAGGTGAAATAAATACTTGCCATTAGGAGTACTATTTAGTGTGCAGAACTGCAGATACTAACTTATAAAACTAAGAAGAGTAAGTAACTTTTGTTTTTTTCCTCTCCAATATACTGGAGGGTTGCATATCATTTCATTAATGAAAAAGAAAATTAAAAGCAGTACAAACACAAACCCCAAAAGGGTAGAAACAAACAAGCTAAAGGGAACAAACAAACCAGCCTTTTGTTTTCTACTTGTCAGCTTCAACATATAGGCAGGGCCACAGGTAAAAAAAAAGACGGAATAATGAATAACTAAGATATCATGTTTGGTACAAATTGTGAGCACAAAATATATCTCCTTGACTTACAAGGTAGAGTCATTAAACTAAGAGTCGCTTGAACTTATGATCATCACAGAAAGTAACTTGCAAACTAAGACCAACTACAATTATAACTCAACTGCAATATAAAAGTGGTTCAGCTAGGTTAGTGAAGGTTCAAGTCTTTTGCAGCAACTGTCAATCTTAGTTCACATACCAGCCTAGAATTCATAAATCATAACAAGGTTTATTTCTGGAAGGATATATTTCTCAATTCATAATATTTTTAGACACAATAGGTCAATAATGATTGCAAAATTGAAATTACAATCCGTATAGTTATGAGCTACGACATGGTGAATAGATGCAAGTAGTTTTGTCAATCAGAATGGTATGAAATAAAATGCCAATATGACTAAAGAATCATATATTCGTACCTAAAACAACCTATATTATGATAGTAAATCACTACGAGATAGCCCAATATGGTCCCATGTGAGATGTGGCTGGCATACACCTGGTGGTCATATGGATCCACACAAAACAACAAACACGCACATGTTTTTTTAGAAGACAAGCAACAACATCATTGTTTTTGTCCTTTTGTTTTATTTTATAATCAGAGACATCGATGTGCAAAGAATTAGGGTGTGTTTAGTTGGGGAAAAGGAAATTTTTGGGTGTCACATCGGACGTTTGACCGGAGGTCGGAAGGGGTTTTCGGACACGAATGAAAAAACTAATTTCAGAACTTGCCTGGAAACCGCGAGACGAATATTTCGAGACTAATTAAGCCGTCATTAGCACATGTGGGTTACTGTAGCACTTATAGCTAATCACGGACTAATTAGGCTTAAAAGATTCGTCTCGCGATTTCCCCCATAACTGTGTAATTAGTTTTTCTTTTTATCTATATTTAATGCTTCATGCATATGTCCAAAGAATCGATGTGATGTTTTTGGGAAAAAATTTTGGTGAACTAAACGGGCCCTTAGTATAACTCTTATCTGTACGAGCTCTTATCTGTAACTTATTGAAGGACTACTGTTATTCACCTCTCCCAAGTCCCAACTCCCAAGTACTAGTATACCATAACCTGTCCTCAACTCCTCATCCAATATTCAGGCAAACAACTACACTAAGTACTGTACTTGGCAGCACCAAAGCATATGAAATGAACTAAAATCTGTGCCGAAAACACCATTCGGACAACAGGATCCACACGGCGAACCAAAACACATCAGGAAATCAACGAAGCACGTTCTCAATTCTACGCACCGACGAACGGATCCACCACGACACACCGGATCAGATCAACCGTGATTTGAGATTCGGAAGAGCCGATCCCAACTGGAGCGGAAATGGGCATCAGATAACAGAGAGAGACAGGTCGGGGGATTCAGTTACCTCGAGATGATTGGGAGGCGGCGAGGAGGAAGTTGGTCAGCCGCCGGCGGCGGCGGGGTGGGTGCTCGCGTCGCGCGCCGTGGCCGCGGTGGTGCTCCGGCGAAGTGGGAACGGGGAAGAGATGGGATAGAGTGAGGAGGGAGACAATGGGGAGGGAGGTGACAACGAAAGGGGAGCATCCGACGGTTGGAGACCGTTGTAGTGTACAGATGGACGGTCGAGATGAGGCACGGTGTAGTGGTCGGCGTCACTGCAGCTTTCTTTCCTTTGCTTTTTCTTTTTTCTCTTTTCTTTTATGTTTTACGAAAAGAAGAAGCTGCAGTTTCTTTTCTTTTCTTTTTCAGAGCAGAGTTGTTGTCGTCCTCCACCACCCTCGTACTCCTGTGTTTTGACATAAAAATTAACCGAAAAACCTGATAGAAAAAAAATTACCCACAGAATTTTAGTTTTGTTGTAACGCGTAGGCATGGCACTAGTTTAAAAAATAAAGCCACAGTTTGTTGAGACATGCCTTATTAGATTCTAAGGGATGTTTTAGGTGCTGATTAGTCAAAGAGTATTGTATCATTCCGGTACTTATGTAGTCCAAGAAAAAGAAGCGTGTAAGTCATTACTGAAAGCACATTTATTTCGATAGTTTCTTATTGGAGTTGAAAAGCTTATATATTTGTACATGACCCTTAATCTTAAATAAATTTGGTCGGCCTATCTTGGGCTGGTCTAGAAAGATAATTTCTCTATGTGTAGTAGCTTAAATGGAAAAAAAAAACAAGAGTGACTTACATGTTGGGCTAGGTTTTCTTGCCTAAGTTTCACAATGAACCAAGTATTAGTACATATTTTCACTTAAGACCAAGTATTATTACCAAAAATTTTAATTTGGACTAGAGGGGCACATGCCATTGTCTCAATCTCCTCTCTCCTCCTCCAGACTCCCCGTCCCTGGTGGCCAAGTCAAGCTTAAATCAGTTTGATGTATATGCTGGAGGACAGGTGAAAGTGGAGGTAAAGCCGTAAAGCTTGTGCAGCAAGCTTGATTTATGCCCTTGCAGCCGTGATGTGCTCAAGCTCATCAATGAATCACAGGGTGGGAATTTGCGGAGAGAACTCGAAATGGACATGGTAAATAAATCAAGTAAGAAAATAATTGAAAGCAACGAAAGAGGAATTTTACTGACACCTTGATTTACAGTGCCTTCATCGCCGTTTACCACCAAGAGTCAAGAGCCTTTTACCTTGCCTTGCTTCCTCTACTCAAGCACTGAGCAGACAAAGGGGTAGCTAGCTTGCCAAGCCCTGCTGCTACTATGCTCCATGAGCAAACCGAAGCTTGGACGACCCCATACATATGCACTGTAATTGATAGACCGGAGTTTGAAGACACGGTGAAAGAGATGGAGAAGGTGGTGTAAAATGCAACAATAGGAAATACTCCAGCTAGCCCAAAGTGAAAACATAGGATAAGGGGCGGTCTAAAGTGAAAGTTTGGTAAGAAATGATGACCCAATATGCAATTCACTAAAAAAGAAAGTACTAAAGATGTGTTCGTCTCCCTCAGCTGGGAACTAATGCCCTACGCACGAAAAACGGAGCAGTACATTAACGCGTGATTAATTAAGTATTAGTTTTTTTTCTAAAAATGGATCAATATGATTTTTTTTAAGTAACTTTTGTATATAATTTTTTATAAAAAGCACACCGTTTAGCAGTTTGAAAAACGTGCGTGTGAAAAACGAGAGATATGGATTGGGAACCTGACTAACCAACGCAGAGTAGCTCGCACGATGGCTGTTAGTTCCTGTCTTTTGATAAGACAAAGGTCGCAGCTGAGATGGCAACTCGGTTTCAACGTGAAGCACATGAGGACATTCAATGCCATCGCATTATAGAGTCATAACAACAAATAAATCCGAAAAAAAGAACTTGCATATGGAATTGTGAAAAACATAATTTCCTAACAGCATCTTTGGAGTACAAACACATCTATTGTCTCGTAAGTCATATCTATGGCACATTCGCGCAATCTCAATTCTTAAAACCAAGAGTTCAAAAAAATTCAGAAAACAAGGAAAAGCAAACCAAATGACGCATCAAAGTCATGGTCATGACTCATGACTCATGTGGTCATCCAAAAGAGACCAGCAAAAAAAAATAGAAATACCAAAGCGATCGAGGCGATACTAATATCAATATATTACGTTACGCCGATCATCAAGGGAAGAAGCCCAGGACAAAAATATCCGCACGTCGCATCCAAGAGTAAAAGAAAATAATTATTTTGTGATTATCCATAAAATACTTATAGATACTAAAGTTTTATATTGAAAAATAAGTTCATAGCTCAGTTCCTCCACTAGCGGTGTGGATTTTGAAGAAATCAAAAGGGTCAACGGCCTCCGTCCTAAAATATAAACATATTTAGTACACAGTCATAAGTCAAACATTTTCAACTTTGACTATTAATAGTAAAAAAAGATTAATCATATAAAATTGATATTACTATATTTATTATTAAACAAACTATCGTAATATATTGTTGATCAAAATAGCATATCGGATATTATGTCAGAGTAAAAAATACTTATATTTTAGGACTTAACTAGTTAAGGTAGTAAAAGAAACAGTACATGAACAATTAATTATCTTGTTGATTTTCGCCTCGTAGAGAAATAGGCGGTACAAACAAACCACCCAAATGGCGAAGCGTCAACGTCGCAAAAAGCAGGATCAATTATGCATGACACAGTAATCTCCACACTTCTAGGATCTTGTTTCCGGCCAGAACGAATCGTATCCTTTTTTTTTTCTGTTCCTTTTTGTGGTCTCTGAATTCTGATAGAGCTGTGGGACATATTCGCTCGTTTCCCTGGTGCTGCTTGCTCGCCAATTCGCCATGGCCTCCACCGAGCAGCAAGAACACGCAGCACCGCTGCTCCAACCCGAGGTCTGTGTTCATGTCAATTTTCCGCTATCCAATATGTTTCCCTCTTCAGTTTACTGCCATGGACTGAGTTACTGAGCTTTGCTCCCGAATTAGTTTAGTGCTCAGTGTTAACATGGCTGTGGATTTTGGTTGCTGCAGGTAGAAGAAGCATACACCTCGGATGGGTCACTTGACATCGATGGCAACCCGGCGCTGAAGCATCGCACTGGTGGATGGAGAGCATGCCGCTCGATTCTAGGTATAGAATTAATCACTTAATTACTGATTAAAACTTTTCTTCTTGCCAATTTGTTCCTGGTTAATGTCTCCACTGAGGCGATATATGCTTATTAATTGTGCTTGCTGTGGATAGGAGCCGAGTTCTGCTACTGCCTTGCCAACAATGGCATCATGTACAACCTCGTCACCTACCTCACAACCCAGCTGCATCAGAGCAATGTCGCCGCCGCCAAGAACGTGTCGATCTGGAAGGCCACCTGCTTCCTCACGCCGCTGGCCGGCGCCGTCGTCGCGGATTCCTACTGGGGGAGGTACCGCACCATGGTCGTCGCCTGCTGCGTCGGCGTCGCTGTCAGTTTGCTAAGATCCCCCCACTTCAATCAGTCACTGCATCCCGCCATGAATTCAGCTCAGGTTTGAGGTTTGGTCACTCTCTGCTTCGTTCGTGCAGGGGATGCTCATGGCGTCTCTCTCGGCGCTGCTGCCGCAGCTGATCGAGAGCTCATCAACACTGTCCATGCCTTCAGCTCAAGAGTTCGTCTTGTTTCTTGGCCTGTACATGATCGCTTTCGGGGTGGGCGGCCGGGCTGCAGCCGTGCCTGATGTCTTTTGGCGCCGACCAGTTCGACGCCGGCGACACATCGGAGCGCGCGAGCAAGGCGTCATTATTCAACTGGTACGTATTCACCATGAACTGCGCCGCCGTGATATCCGCCACCGGCTTGGTGTGGGTGCAAGGCCACTACGGGTGGGCATTGGGATTGGGGATTCCGGCGATGGTCCTCGCCGTCGGGCTCTCCTGCCTTGTCGCCGCGTCGCGGACGTACAGGTTTCAGACAACCCGCGGTAGCCCGCTCACCAGAGTCTGCCAGGTCGCCGTCGCCGCCGTCCGCAAGTTCAACGTCGCGGCGCCGGGCGACATGGCCCTTCTCTACGAGCTACCGGATGACGCATCCTCCATGAAGGGAGTTGAGAGGATCGAACACACCACGGATCTCGAGTTAGTTTCTTTTCTATGTCGATGTGCCGTGTTGGTTAATTTTCAGCTCCCGAATTCTTGAGATGTATCTGCCATGATCAGATTCTTCGACAAGGCCGCCGTCGTGACGGCGTCGGATGAGGAGGCGCCGCGCAATCCATGGAGGCTTTGCGTGGTGACGCAGGTGGAGGAGCTCAAGATTCTAGTCAGGATGCTGCCCGTGTGGGCGTGCATCGCCTTCTTCTACACCGGGACGGCGCAGACCAAGTCGACGTTCGTCGAGCAGGGCATGCCGATGGACGCGCACGTCGGCGCCCTCCGCGTCCCGCCAGCGTCGCTGGCCGCCTTCCAAATGCTCACCACCATCGTGCTGATCCCGCTGTACGACCGCGTGTTCGTGCCCGCCGCCAGGAAGCACACCGGGAGGGAGAAGGGCATCTCCGACCTTCTCAGGATCGGCGGCGGCCTCGCCACGGTCGGCCTCGCCATGGCCGCCGCGGCGACGGTCGAGACGAAGCGCGCCAGCGCGGCGCGGACGACGGCGAGCATACTGTGGCAGGCGCCGCAGTTCGTGCTGGTGGGCGCCGGCGAGCTGCTCGCCACCATCGGGCAGCTGGACTTCTTCTACAGCCAGGCGCCGCCCGCCATGAAGACGGTGTGCACGGCGCTCGGGCTCCTCGCCGTCGCGGCGGGCGACTACCTGAGCTCCGTCATCGTGACGGCCGTGTCGTGGGCGACGGCGAGCGGCGGCCGGCCGGGGTGGATCCCCGATGATCTCAACGAGGGGCACCTTGATCGCTTCTTCTGGATGATGGCCGGCCTCGGTTGCCTCGATCTTCTGGCGTTTACGTGTTGTGCCAAGAGGTACAACAAATCAAGGAAGGCTTGTTGATATTTCAGGGCTTGTTTTCGGGAGGCACAAATCCTGGCCGATGCACATTGATGGGCCGAAGAACTTGATGCTAACTGGCCCAAGACCCGGATCAGCCAACAGAGAGTTAGGCTTTGCATGGTAATCACATGG